ACTTGGTGGCGCCGCTGAATTGCAGTGCTCCCTTTTTTTTCTAGAAAAACCCCTGAGTGATATGAAATTACTGAGTGTTACAAGAATACCATGAGGTATATACTGTTGATGAAATCATGATGGTGTTTGACTAAGTGTACATAATGTAGATCGTAAAATTTTCTCAAGGGAAGTGGCCGAAATCTAACTGGTCTGTTTCCCGCGGGGCTCCGCCAACACCCGGAAAGTCAGGATAAGCTCCTTGGCCGCCCAGAGGTCACCGCCAACACAGGCACTTACCTGGGGTTAACCGGGGTAAACCGATGCTCATTGTTTTGTGATTATAATTCTATTGTTCTCGCCTTTCTAAAGACAAAAAACGACTGAATTTTTACAAGTCCCCGAAAAGGAGTACATGTACCACTTTTAATAACAGGTAATGTATTCGCTACATTTGTTGCGATATTCACGAAATTTGACCCATGTCTGACCTCTAGTCTAGGCAAGATTGGTACTGGGCAATGGTCTTCTGAAATTTGAAATGCTGAATTTAAGTTTCACGATTGAAAAAATAAATATCACACCATTGTTGTTAATATTGTACCCAGTTAAAATAACACGGAATACTACATTATTGTACCATTGTGTTTGTTGTGAATATTTTGTTTTCCTGAATGCCGTCGTCCATACCGGTGACCACATGTATGGACATTCAAGTGTGAATCACTACTCCCGGGGAAGTCGTGCCGGTTCGGGCATTGGCGGGGCCCCTCAGGAAACTGACCAGTTTGATTTGGTCACTTTCCCAACTTGATACTATCAAAGTTCGATCACACGACTGTGTGTGCAAAGACTAAATATTCCATCAGTCTGAGAAACAGTGGTAATGTTTTTACTGGTTCAAGTCATTTTTGCTTCAGCAATTAACGATTTAGAGTGCACATTTTTTTTTTCTATCAAGAAATTATGTTCAGATGGTTCCAAACTACCCAAGAAAGTATGGAAAACTACCGGTACATGAAAAATATTTCTCCAAAATTTTGGCATGGAAAATGATGTGCAACGTTTTATTATCAAATTTTAACGTCACGTAATTTTTTTTTATTCAAAATTGTTGAAATTGTAGCAAATAAGAAATATGTAAATTCAATTAAAAATTAAACAGAAAACTATAGAAAAATACATAAAAACTGGTGAAATATTACATCCAAAATTGTGACATACAAGGTTATAAAGGATTTTATAGCACTTGGGAGTATTTTCAGAATAAATGACCACAAATTGTTTTTAGAACTCCCTGAATACCCGGAATGATTATACTATATTATATGACAATATTTTGTTTTTTTGTTATTTACAGATTCCGTCAACAACTCAAATTGCTGATAAAATGAGAGAAGGATGGAATAGTGGTGAGTTGTCTTTCATGTTCTGGTACTTTTCATTATCATGGCAACCTAAGGGGCCTCATCAAGGGCAACTTAGGGGTAAAGATGGTGGACAATGAAATCATTTGGTGAACTGTCTTAAAACATCACAGTTAAAGTCAGTGCAAAGCTATTTACAAGAATGAGCCTGATTGGCTACCCAACCCAAACACCTAACAATCAGACCAATCAGAGAGCAGCTTGTTTGATCAAATTCTGTCATGTATATATGCTTACATTCGACTGCACGTTGTTTTATGTGGGTCCCACGTGACATATACAACACATGTCACATGTAAAATGTTTGTTTATACAAAATTAGAACATCCGCTGCATGACTGAGGTGCTTTAAAACATGCATGCTGCGCATGTGCCACATTTGTGTTGATAAACAATGATTTTCCCACAATCCAATGCTCTCTTCTAATGGAAATCGCAAGTACGAGTTTTGACCTGGGTGCCACTTGCACAAGCTTCCAATCCCCCCAAAAAATACTTAATTAAAGCTTGGTAACGTCTCGTTGATCTGCACAACAGTCAAACTCACCATCTTTGTTTATATGGCACAAATATCTTGCGCATACATGATTGCGACGACCACTGTCATATAAGTAATTTTTTATTTTGTTTTTTTCAAACCTCTTTAATTGCCATAAAAACGCAAAAATTTCAAAAGTTGTTTTGTGTGCATTTTTCAGACATTGAAATCACTGTTGCGATTGTTTGGTGCCATTTGCATGTGTGATCCAGTCACACAAACCAGTTTGGTTTGAAGGCAGGGCAGACTGTTATCAGCTGGAATCAACCCCGGAATCTCTCTAATGCCAAACAGTAACTCAGCATTTTTGTAGTCGAATTCATATTGATATTTATTTATTTATTTATTTATTTATTTATTTCTCGCCTACAGGTGTACAGAGGACGTTTTCAGCTCTGTCAGAAAGCCCCCAGACCGTGAAATCAACAGTACAGAAATACATGAAATAGACAACTTGAATAAGTGTGTTATTTATCAAATAATATAAACATAGCTACATCTGCCGTGGGTTTTCTGAGAATAAAATTAATAAAAAACATATTCTTTAAATATATTGTTATTCGCTTTAATTTCAGCAAAAACAATTTTTTGCAAATTTTTTGAATCAGTGAAAATACTGAAATTTTATAGCAGTAAAAGTTTCTCTTGGGTCCTGCAAGATGGAATGTTGATACTTTCGCGGAATTTCGACTTCAAGAATGGCGTCAAATCGCCATTACAAAAATGTTTCACCAATAGATATAGCTTCTAAGGGATTTGCTGACAATGAAATCTAAAAGAGAGCGTACTCACAAATGTCAGGTATCGTAGGAAGATATTGAAAGTGACGATCTTTGAAGATACTACTCTATTTTCGCTGAAAAGGCTTTTTGGCGTGTTTTGCTTGGAATTTATTTTCACTGATTTTTGATGAGATTAATGTAAAATATAGGAAAAAATGTATATTCGCTAGTTTTTATTTTCAGGGGATCATCCCTTCAGCGAAAATAGCGAAAATAAATTCCAAGCGAAAATAAAGTATTCTACAGTATTCAGATATAAACGTTTGATTTGTAGATTGGATTGAATAAATTTGATTTAATTGGTTTTCAAGTTCTGCTTTGTTTCTCATTTATTCTCTGCACTCACAGATTGTACTTTTATGCATTTATGGAGAAGACAATATAATGCTAACAATACATTCACTTCTTGTCTTGAAGTTTTTGAAAAAAAAAATGTTATATCCCTGTGTGCAGAGCCCACAATGGGTGTCTAGTGGTTACCCTGTCTGTGTGTCTGCATATATGTATGTTTGTCTTGTTACTTCATTGATAAATTTGTACAAGAAGGCCTAAATATTCAAATTTAATTTCTTGACAATTGTTCATTTTCCTTTTTGATTTGCTAGAGTTTTTGTTTTTGTTTTTTTGTTTTTGTGATGATTAATACAATTTTTGATTGTTACAAATTGCTGAGTACCGCGTTATGACATTTACATGAATGAATGAATGAATCAGTGAATTTTTTTTTTTTTTTTTGGTATATTTCACATTCAACCCAAACTTAGTTACAGCTAAAATAACACCAAGTATGCACTAAACTCAGAAAACAAGGACTATTAATTTGGGTTCGCTCCGTTCGTACTCTGGCGCTATATCTCGGACACCCATTGACGGATTTCATTCAAACTTTACATGAAGACAATACACAATGTCTTAAACATGTTCGCAGCAGTTTCTCAGAGATGACTGGGCCGATTTGGATCAAAGTTGGTATGGTGATCATACATATTGGGTTATAGGTGCACATCATATGGCCGACTCGTGGCCATTTTATTTTTCATGCTACACATGCCAACTTTTCCATGAATGCAATGAACATTTCTGTTTAAATTTTGTACAAAGACAGTATACCAATAGATACATGAACATGAACATTATTTTTGTAATTTGATTCAATATGACTGCCCAATGTCCATTTCTCATGTAAAAGCACTAAATCATAATTTTTTACAAATCCATCTCCTATTAATGGTTTCAATTTAATCTCAATGACTTCATCAGCATCAAATTGATATGTCAGATCACAAAATTTTGGACGGGGACTGTATCATTAACAATGACTTGTTTATTTGGTTATACATGTGAAGTACCGGGGTGAGTATAATTGGTGGACTGGGGAGGGGTAAAAAATAAATGGAACCAGCTGAACTGTGGAATCCACTATTTTTGTTGTTGCGCTTGTGGTATTAAGTCGTTTTTGTTTCTCACTCCACTAACACAATAGCAGTAGAATTCCCATGCGTCATTTCATATACGCGCTCCGTCGCTAGAGGGCGCTGTGACATGCAAACGAATGTATATCCTATGACTAAAATTGGAGTGTGGGAAGACACATTTAAACATAAGGTACGTTGAAAATGTATCCGCCATACACAAATAAATATTGTATTTAACTATCGGCGTACAGCATAGCAGCAATCGCTCCGTGCATCGTGTGAGGGCGCTTCACCTTTCACATCGTATCACGTGCACGGTAAGCGTTACCATAACATGGATGTATTCTGCCACGTGATGCAATAGGGGGGAGGTTAGAATAATCCGCCCATCCCTGTGGGAACAATGATTTTCGCGGGTCAATTTAGATCAATTTAACGAATGTTTGTCTGATATTTCAAACTTTTTACGATATCAGGTAAATAGCTACAAGATAGCACGCATACTATACACTGCTATTACCACAGGGAGCCGTGGAACTATGATCAACTGAACGCAGTCTCTATGAGGGGGGGGGGGTATCGGCTGGTATCTAGTGTAAGAAATAGACAAGGGACGAAGGCTCCAGCGAGCTCATATTTTTTAAACTCGAAAAATCAGACGAAAAGAATGAAAAATAAAAACTATAAAAAATACTAGCTTGAACAATATTAGTTGCTCTTTCAAATTTCGCCAAAGACTTACTGTAAAAGGGTTAATTATTCGCTGGGTTTTAATTTTGCTTCTTTCGCTGACTGGAAAATGCGCTAAATTAAAACCAAATGAATATGTAAAATTTAGCATAGAACACATTATCTAAATGACGAAACCGTGAATTTAAAACCCACTGAATATGCCTGAAATGGTAAATCAGTGAAATTTAAACCCAGTGAAAATTAGTCATTTTACAGTACTTTTATTTTACCGATATCACTAGAATAAATCAAGAAAACTACAAAAATTGACTCCATTTATGAATAATTAACGGTTACACAGAAAGCACGTTACAGTTGGAGGCGTGGCCTGTTCAGAATTTGTCAAGAACCAATCACAAGACTGGTTATCGTAACCAGTTAGGCGAGGCTATTACTGTATACTAGTATTTTGTTCGGAGTTTTCAATAACATATGTTTGATATCAAAATATTCCACCGCATCGTTTTTTGCTTTTATACCACGTACACGCGCCAATGTTTGGCACAACGCGGCAACTTTATCCTGGCTTATCAAATAAACTATTTCTGTTCAATCATTTTCGCTTCTGGGCGTACTGCGATCAGATTAAAATCTGACGATAGCACAGACATCGCGTGTTATGTCTGTATTTACCGTCACCGTTTCTCTGTATCGGTCATGTATACTGTAAACTTTTTCACCACCAGTTTCCTCTTTTCATCACAAATTCACAAAATAGTCCAGTTTATAGTCTGCACTTTTCTTCAGAAGATGATTGGTACAAAAATAGCGAAATGTTTTGAGTAAAAACTGCAAATTGTCTCAATTTTTTTCTGTTGGCTCCAGGATTAGAATTCAGAAATATTGAAGAATATAAGAAAAAAGTGCAGAAAAAATTGGGCAAAAAAGTCTGGTGGCGAAAATGATAAAGTGTGTTCACGCGTAAATATCATATTCTAGCGTCCACGTATTAGCATGGGGCAAACTACTCTACCCCTACTGCTTCTCATTACTCGGGCCCAGGACTAAATGAGAATTTAAAAAAAAGAATTTCGAAGTTCCATGCTGTGGTGCGCGTTCAAAAATACGCTCGGTTATCGAAAATCGTCCCGATTTCCGTCTCATGTTCATTTCTGTGTGCTGATTTTTTGAAATCTACTTTATTTTAGCTAGAATTCATTTTTGCTGAAAAGAATTTTTGGGTGTTTTGTATGGAATTAATTTTCACTGATTTTTGATGAGTTGAATGTAGAATATAAGAAAAAGGGTATATTCGCTGGAATTTATTCTCACTGAATTATTTCCAAGCGAAAATAAAGTATTCTACAGCATATTCGACATCAGCGGCTATTGAAATGAACACCTCAGCGGAAATGACATCATTACTCAACTTCGGTGTTAATAAACCCCGTCACCTAGTTGTGATGAATGGAAGAAATGATATAGATATTAGGTGACGAGGGCGTGTATTTATGTTGGCGATGGCGTTCCCAAAAGATTCACAGCATTGGCACCTCTTCTGATCACACATTGCAAAACATACTTTTGAAAAACGAATACAGCAGATTCAATTTAATCTTTTCACCACGAGTTCCATCTTTTCATCACCTTTTTATAGTCTGCACTTGCCATCAGAAGAATGGAAAGTAAAAATAGACAATTTTTTGAGTAAAAACTGAAAATTGACTCAAATTGTGTTTGTTGGTTCTAAAATTAGGGTTCATTTCCAAAAATATTGAAGAATATAAAAACAAAGTGCAGAAAACGTTAGGCTGAGAAAGTCTGGTTGTGAAAAGGTTAAAGGGCGGTGGTTGTCGCACCGCGTCGTGTTCGATATGGGACTCATAGCGACGTATACAACGCGTGTAAAATACATTGTTTATTTACATGAAATTCGAACACGCGCTGCGCGACGACCACCGCGCTTTAAGGTCCTAAATAGCAAACCAGTAAAATGTTTTTAAAAATCAATGTCCAATGGTACAAACCATGGGAATATGAGTAATTTTAGTGTGGGGTAAACTCTGGCATGGTTGAACATATTTCTGAAATGAACACGGGCTTCGTCATGTGGCTACCTCGTAACGTAGTCGTATCTCTATATCCGTTGTCTGCCTTCACTGTGTAAGTCCATACGATACGAATAATTAAAAGACGATTAAGTAAATCGACAACGACACGGCGAGGAGATATCATGTTAGGTAACCAACTCTGGGTCTTATGTCTATGTAAAGAATGTCTGATCCCCGAAATAATTGGTCTGACCCCATGACAAATCGCACTCCCCCTTGCAGAGTCTTCGAGCTTATGACCTGGCCTAGGAATCCACAAAGAGCGGCAACTTGTGGGACGTTCCCTGGCGACTACCTAGCTTAGTGATAAAAGACCCATAATCTCTGCGAAGGAGAATAGATAAATCGTTGACTAATCGTAAGTATTGCAAACCGTTCAGATGAGCTTTCTGCATTCACACTGTATGGAATGTTCCAGCGCTGCGCATGCGCGAGATATATGGGTCTCATATAAACAAAGATGGCGACTATGACTGTTGCGCAGATCAACGAGTACAAACTGAGACGTTACCAAGCTTTTAAGTATTTTTAGGTGATTGGAAGGTATTGAAGAAGTCACCGGCTGTAATTAGTGGTAAGTCGAGCCCAGGTCAAACCCCGTACTTGTGATTTTCATTAGAAGAGCGCGTTGGATTGTGGGTAAAACAATGTTTATCAACACAAATGTCGCACATGCGCAGCGCGCCGACTACCGCCCTTTAAATATTAAAAAATACACATTCCTTTAAATCGCGCCCTCTGTGTCAGTGCGCTTCTATGACGTCAACATGACATATATGGTGAAAGCAAGGTCGTTCATATCGACAATAATGTGTTGTCGTTCGTCATCTAAAATATAGTAAAATCTTCCTAAAGGC